AGCCAGGAAGCCTCAAATACTGGCTGTGCCAATAAAATAAAAGCCAGGTGGAATCCCTAAGAGTAGTGTGTGAAAAAAAAAAATGTAAAAAAAAAATGTAAAAAAAAAATTTTTTTTTTTTTTTAAATCAATGGGCCTATTCCATGGGCCTGGGCCTGGAGCTGCAGCTCCATCAGCCCCTATGTTAATCCGGCCCTGCCAGTGGCGGATCCAGAGCCTGAGCCCGGGAGGGGCACATGAAGATTATTTAAGATTATTTAAATAAATATTCCATGCACAATAATCACTACTCCTTTGTGTAGTGGTTATGGTGCCAGGAGTGTCGAGACCCCCTCCAAGAGTAAGTAGTCAAACCGTTTAAGAACAGTTTGACAACTTTCCTGGAGTCTGCTGGGATATGGGGCTGTTGTAGGGTATAGGAGCAGTGGTGCAATGTGTGAGGGGTGCAATGTGTGTGAAAGGTTCAGTGTGTGGGTGTGGGGGGGCAGTGTGTGAATGTGTATGGTGTGTGGGGGCAGTGTGTGAATGTGTATGGTGTGTGTGTGTGGGGGGGCAGTGTGTGTATGGGGCTAGAGTTCACTCTCACTACTGCGACCACCAGGAAGTGGTGAAAGTGAACTCTAGCCCATAGCTCCAGGGCTAGAGTATACCCTCGTGAGAACCGGAGCGTTGCCCCGGGTCCTCTCTTCCTCCCCTACCGGCTGCCTGCACAGTGCCTGCGGAACAGGGAGGGAAAGCCTCGTGGGCGGGGAATTGCCCCGTTGCCCCCCCATCCACCAGTGTTATATACTGCCCCTATGTGTGTCTCTTTATCTCCAGCCCCTCTGTGTGCCTTTTTGTCTCCCCCAGTCACTCTGTATGTTTCTTTCTCCCCCTCACTGCTCCTCTGTGTCAATGTCTCCTCTCTCCTTCCCAGTCTCTCTCTTCCCCCTCTGCCTCTTTCTCCCCCTCCCCTTGTGTGTCTCTCTCATTTCTCCCTCTTTGTCTCTCTCTTCCCCCTGCCTCTTTGTCCCCCTTTCCCTTGTGTCTCTCCCTCCTCCACATCTCTCTCCCTCCCCCCTTTCCCTGTGTCTCTCCCTCCTCCACATCTCTCTTCCTCCTCCCCCCTTTTCCCTGTGTCTCTCCCTCCTCCCCATCTCTCTTCCTCCCCCCTTTCCCTGTGTCTCTCCCTCCTCCCATCTCTCTCCCTCCCCCCTTTCCTGTGTCTCTCCCTCCAACCCATGTCTCTCCCCATCTCTCTCTTCCTCCCTTTCCCTGTGTCTCTCCCTCCTCCACATCTCTCTTCCTACCCCCTTTCCCTGTGTTTCTCCATCCTCCACATCTCTCTTCCTCCCCCTTTCCCTATGTCTCTTCCTCCTCCACATCTCTCTCCCTCCTCCACATCTCTCTTCCTCCCCCCTTTCCCTGTGTCTCTCCCTCCTCCCCATCTCTCTTCCTCCCCCCTTTCCCTGTGTCTCTCCCTCCTCTCCATCTCTCTTCCTCCCCCCTTTCCCTGTGTCTCTCCCTCCCCACTTTTCCTGTGTCTCTCCCTCCTCCCCATCTCTCTTCCGCCCCCTTTCCCTGTGTCTCTCAGCCTCCACATCTCTCTTCCTCCCCCTTTCCCTATGTCCTCTCCCTCCTCCACATCTCTCTTCCTTCCCCTTTCCTGTGTCTCTCCTCCTCCCACATCTCTCTTCCTCCCCTTTCCCCACGTGTCTCTCCTCCTCTACATCTCTCACCCCCTTTCCTGTGTCTCTCCCTCCTCCACATCTCTCTTCCTCCCCCTTTTCCTGTGTCTCTCCCTCCTCCACATCTCTCTTCCTCCCCCCTTTCTCTATGTCTCTCCCTCCTCCACATCTCTCTTCCTTCCCCCTTTCCCTGTGTCTCTCCCTCCTCCACATCTCTCTTCCTCCCCCCTTTCCCTGTGTCTCTCCCTCCTCCAAATCTATTTTCCTCTGTGTCCCTCTCTCCTCCCTCCACCATCTCTCTATTCCCCTCTCTGTTTTATTCCCCCCCCTTCACCTAGAGAAGTCAGGGGGGGCCGGCCGCATTGCAGGCCGGAGCTCCCGGTCCGTGTGGCAGCTTCACCAGTCCGGCGACACTCCTGTCACTGACTATGTGTCAGGGTACCTGTTGGTGCTGAATCCAGGGAAGACATCCTCTCTGTTTAGGGGCTCCCTGCCCTAGCATTTCGGCATATTCCGGCCGTTTTCGCGCCGGCCGCGCTAGCTCCTCCCCCTTTTATGACGCGACGGCTAGCGTCGACGTCATGACGTCGGCATTTGCATAAAGTGCCGGGAACCGCTATTCCGGACCTTTTGGGGGCGTGGTCTCCATTTAGGTAACAGGGTATTTAAAGGAAACCTTTACTACTGCTCATTGCCCTGTCGTGGTTCTAGCTTGCTAGTCACTCAGCGCGTTCTTTATCTTGTGCTTCCGGTTTTGACCCTTGCTTGTCTTTTGTCCTGTTGTCCTCTCCTCTCCTTTGACTCGGCTTGTATCTCGCTTACCTGTCCTCCGGCTCCCTCGACCTCGGCTTACCTTTTGACTATTCTTGTTTTGTCCATACGTTAGTCCGGCCATTCTAAGGTCCGTTATACGTACCTCCTTCTGTCCGCACTCTGCGTATTGGATCCCTGTCAGTATCCTGACATTACGACAGGGCCAATGGATCCTGCAGGTGCTAGTCCTCCTGACCCCAGATTTGAGGCCATGGACCATAGAATGGACCAAATGGCTTTAGCATTACAAACTTTGTTAACACGCTCCAGCACCCAGTCTGAAGAAATACGTTCCACTGCTAGCCACTCGCTAAGTACTGGTTTGGAAGTAGCCACTGTAGGCGCATCCTCCCATGTCACTTCACCGTTACGATATGGGGGTTCGCCTGATGCTTGTCGTGGTTTTTTAAACCAGATAAGCATACATTTCGAACTTCAACCCCGGGCTTATCCTACTGACAGGGCTAAAGTAGGCTTTATTATAACCCTGCTAATAGACAAAGCACTTAGATGGGCCAATCCCCTTTGGGAGAATGACAATCCTTTAGTCTACAACTACACTGCTTTTGTCACGGCTTTTAGAAGAACCTTTGACCCCCCCAGGAAGGAAGATTAATGCGGCCAGATCCCTGTTACGCCTTAAACAACAGAATAGGACCCTTGTAGAATATGCTCTAGAGTTTAGATCATTGGCAGCAGAAGTGAAATGGAACGAACAAGCTTTTATGGATGTATTCTTGAATGGGTTGTCTGATGAAATTTTAGATGAGATTGCCACAAGAGAACTTCCGGAAAATTTAGAGGATTTAGTATCCTTCATTTCCAAACTTGGAAGTTTCCATATAACTTGGTGCGAATTAAACAAGGAGATGAATGGATGACAGCATTTAATACCCGTTACGGGCATTATGAGTATACCGTAATGCCGTTTGGGCTTTGTAACGCCCCGGCGGTCTTCCAAGACTTGATCAATGAAGTTCTTAGAGAATTCCAACATGAATGTGTAATTGTATATTTGGATGATATACTAATCCATTCTAGAGACATTAATTCACATCATAGACAAGTCAGACAGGTATTACAGAAACTTTTACAACATGGATTGTATTGTAAATTGGAAAAATGTAGCTTTGACCAGTCTCAGGTAACTTTCTTAGGTTACGTAATTTCCAAAGACGGGTTTATGATGGACCCGACCAAACTACAATCGATTTTAGATTGGCCTTTACCTAAGGGACTCAAAGCCATACAAAGATTTCTTGGATTTTCTAATTATTACAGACGTTTTATTAAAGGGTACTCCTCTGTTATCGCTCCTATCACTAATATGACCAAACAAGGAGCCGATACCAAAACCTGGTCTACTGAGGCTTTATCTGCTTTCGAAACGCTCAAACAGTCTTTTGCCTCAGCACCTGTATTAGTTCATCCTGATACCTCTCTACCCTTTTTACTTGAAGTTGATGCGTCTGAAACAGGGATAGGCGCAGTGTTGTCCCAAAGACAAAGTTTAGATAAGCCGCTGCACCCTTGCGGTTTTTTTTCCAAGAAACTATCACACACTGAAAAGAGATATGACATTGGTGATAGAGAACTTTTAGCTATCATTATGGCATTAAAGGAATGGAGACATTTGTTAGAGGGCACTGTCCTCCCAGTTACTATATTGACTGACCACAAAAATTTATCGTATATGGGGGAGGCCAAAAGATTATCTGCCAGGCAGGCACGTTGGTCTATGTTCCTTACACACTTTAATTATATGCTTACTTACAGGCCTGGTTCTAAGAACACTAAGGCAGACGCTTTGTCACGTCAGCACGAACCTATCACTTCTACAGAGGACACTTTGTTTCCTATTATTCCTGAAGTCAACATTATCGCCAACACCAATGTCAAAATACACTCTCCATTGCTCGCTGATATTATGAACGAACAATCTCTTGCTCCCGAACGTACTCCTGTGGGCCGCTTGTTCGTGTCTCCCAAATTCCAAGTGGACATTATTCGCTGTTTTCACGATAGCAAGATCGCTGGTCACCCCGGCATCCACAAAACTTACTGCCTGATCTCCAAAGACTTCTGGTGGCCCGGTTTACGTAGGGATGTGGAAGACTTTGTCAAGGCTTGCAATGTTTGTGTCAGGAATAAACTTCCACGGGATCTCCCTTGTGGTTTATTGCAGCCCTTAGTCGTTCCCAACAAACCTTGGGCTTGTTTGGCTATGGATTTTATTGTTGATCTACCAGCTTCCAGTAGACATACGGTTATCCTCACGGTCCTTGACAGGTTTACTAAAATGGCTCATTTCATTCCCTTGCCTAAACTTCCGTCCTCTCCTGAACTGGCTGTGATATTTGCTAGAGAAATTTTCCGTTTACATGGTATTCCCAATGAGATTGTGTCAGACAGGGGTTCCCAATTTATTTCTCGTTTTTGGAGATCCTTCTGTTCCCAGTTGGGCATCAAACTGAATTTTTCTTCGGCCTATCATCCTCAATCTAACGGAGCAGCCGAACACACTGCACGCCTTGTATCATCCTCAGCCATGGACACCTACCAACAGCCAGAAGACAAGGACCTACAGGCCCTGAGGGACCTGGCCAACCGCCTGAGGATCCACTCTATAAGGGCTACATGTGCCTCCAATTCAGGACATCCCACTTCCTGCTGCAGTGCTGCCGAAGTCCTGTCTGTTCTTTTCTTCAACACCATGAAATATGAAGCGGCTGACCCTGGCAACATTAACAATGACCGCTTTGTCCTGTCTAAGGGACATGCTGCACCCATTCTCTATGCTGCTTGGGCGGAGGCAGGCTTTCTGAAAGAATCCGACCTCCTGAACTTGAGGAAAATAGACTGTGACCTGGAAGGACACCCAACACCTAAACTCCCATTTGTTGATGTAGCAACTGGCTCACTGGGACAAGGATTGGGTGCTTCCTGTGGCATGGCCTATACTGGCAAATACTTTGACAAGGCCAGTTACCGAGTCTACTGCCTGATGGGTGATGGTGAATCCTCTGAAGGTGCTGTCTGGGAAGCGATGGCATTTGCATCCCATTACAAGTTGGACAACTTAGTGGCAATCTTCGATGTAAACCGACTGGGTCAAAGTGAGGCAGCTCCTCTTCAACACAAGACTGAGATATACCAAAAGAGATGTGAAGCTTTTGGGTGGAACACATGTGTTGTAGATGGACACGATGTGGCTGAGCTTTGCTATGCACTATGGCAAGCAGCCCAAGTAAAGGATAAACCCACAGCCATCATTGCAAAAACTTACAAAGGGAAGGGCATTACAGGAGTTGAAAATGAAGACAACTGGCATGGAAAGCCGATGCCTAAAGACAAGGTTGAGTCAGTAATTAATGAGATCCAAAATAAAATCCAGACCAACAAAAAACTGTCCTTCTGCTCCAACTATGGATGCTCCAGCTGTGGACATTTCTGGCATTAAGATGCCTTTTCCTCCAAGCTACATACTTGGTGATAAGATCGCAACTCGTAAGGCATATGGAATGGCCCTTGCTAAACTAGGACATGCCAACAATCGTGTCATTGCCCTTGATGGTGATACCAAAAACTCCACCTTCTCTGAAATCTTCAAGCAAGCTCACCCAGACCGCTACATTGAGTGTTTTATTGCTGAGCAGAACATGGTCAGTGTTGCAATGGGCTGTGCCACCAGGAATCGCACTGTTGCTTTTGCAGACACATTCGCCTGAAAGATCCTTCCTTGAAGTTTGCTCCTCGTTACATTGGTCCTTACAGGGTGCTGAGGAGGATCAACCCGGTTTCTTATTTGCTGGACCTGCCTCCTACTCTACGCATCCCTAACTCTTTTCATGTGTCTTTATTGAAACCTCTTGTTTGTAACAGATTTTCCTCCCGCTCTGCCCCTCCATCCTCGGTCCGTGTGGATGGTCAGGAGGAATATGTCATTAAGTCCATCCTTGATTCTCGTATTTCTAGGGGGAAGCTGCAATACCTCATAGACTGGAAGGGTTATGGTCCAGAAGAGAGGTCTTGGGTTCCTGGTATAGACGTGCATGCTCCTCGTCTTCTTCGGGCCTTCCACGTTCGTTTTCCTTCTAAGCCCGGTCCCATCCGCCCGGTGGGCGTTTCTAGAAGGGGGGGTACTGTCAGGGTACCTGTTGGTGCTGAATCCAGGGAAGACATCCTCTCTGTTTAGGGGCTCCCTGCCCTAGCATTTCGGCATATTCCGGCCGTTTTCGCGCCGGCCGCGCTAGCTCCTCCCCCTTTTATGACGCGACGGCTAGCGTCGACGTCATGACGTCGGCATTTACATGAAGTGCCGGGAACCACTATTCCGGACCTTTTGGGGGCGTGGTCTCCATTTAGGTAACAGGGTATTTAAAGGAAACCTTTACTACTGCTCATTGCCCTGTCGTGGTTCTAGCTTGCTAGTCACTCAGCGCGTTCTTTATCTTGTGTTTCCGGTTTTGACCCTTGCTTGTCTTTCGTCCTGTTGTCCTCTCCTCTCCTTTGACTCGGCTTGTATTTCGCTTACCTGTCCTCTGGCTCCCTCGACATCGGCTTACCTTTTGACTATTCTTGCTTTGTCCATACGTTAGTCCGGCCATTCTAAGGTCCGGTATACGTACCTCCTTCTGTTCGCACTCTGCGTATTGGATCCCTGTCAGTATCCTGACACTATGCTAATGGCCGAAGGAGGAGGAGCATGTCTCCCATGCTCTCTCGCGGTTCCTGTGCTGGGGATTGTGGGAACCGCGAGGGAGCATGGTAGACATGCTCCTCCTCCTTCAGCCATCAGCATCGTCAGTGACAGAAGTGCCGCCGGACCGGCGAAGCTGCCACCCGGCCCGGCGGCTCCAGCCTGGAACATGGCCGGCCCCCTCTGAGTGTGCCACCGGACCTATAGGCAGGGCCAGATTAACAGCCCAGTGGGCCTGGTGCTGACAATTATGATGGGCCTAATTACAGAATCATATCGACCAAAAACACTAAAACACTCCCAAGCGTCATGTATCTCATGGAGATGGTGCTGGAGAGAAAGAAAACATCAGCTATAAGAAAACACATACCCTATGCTAATCTCCCTCTAACTTATGTTTTAATCTTTCAAGTAAATCCATAACCCCTAACAGCAGTGTCCAGACAAGTAGGAAGTCAATGGGCACGGTAAAAGGGTGAGCCACTGACACAAATCACGTAACCTGCCAAAAGGGGCGAACATGCCCAAAAAGAGGACATGTCTGCCCAAAGAATTTGAAGGCCAGCCTGGCATGAATGCATGTCAGGCTGCCTGCCAATCATGCAGATGGCCAACTAAGGGCATACTATGCAGACAGCACCCTGAGCTTGGTATAAATGCATCTAATGATGTGCTCGCTCAACACTTTCTAAAGGACTGTCCCCTAGCACTCGCTGGTCCACTTGTCTCCTTACCTTCTTACTAGCAGGCAGACGCTCCTGGTATATAGTCTGGGTAGTAGTGAGTGTAGAAGAAAGGGAACATGCCACAGTGTTAGAGAGACCAAAGTCAGCATTACCTTAAAGGATCACTCTAGGGTCAGGAACACAAACATGAATTCATGACCCTATAGTGTTAACACCACCATCTAACCCCCCTGGGCCCCACATGCCTCCATAAATATAGTAAAAATCTTACTGTATTCAAGCCTGAAGCTGTAACTCTGCATGCTGTTAGACTCAGAAAAACAAGCAGTGTGCTGACATCATTAGAAGTGGTGGCCTGATCCAATCACAGTGCTTCCCCATAGCATTGGCTGAGACTGACAAAACGGCAGATCAGGGGCAGAGCCAGCATGATTCAAACACAGCCCTGGCCAATCATCATCTCCTCACAGAGATGAATTGAATAAATGAATCTCTATGAGGAAAGTTCAGTGTCTGCATGCAGATTGAGGAGACACTGAATGTTTGGATGCATTTTAGGCAGCCATGACCCAGGAAGGATCTCTAAGCCATGCCATAAGGAGTGGCCAGTGAAGTTATCACTAGGCTGTAATGTAAAGACTGCATTTTCTCTGAAAAGACAGTGTTTACAGCAAAAAGCCTGAAGGTAATGATTCTACTAACCAGAACAAATTCAATAAGCTGTAGTTGTTCTGGTGACTATAGTGTCCCTTTAACTATATTCATTGTCAGCCAGTCCACACAAGTTTTGTTCCCATACATCCCTCTTAAGTTTCCATACTTAAGTAAGAGTATGTGAAAAGTAGTTAGGGTTGCCACCTTTCTTGGAAAAACATACCGGCCTTACTAATTTGCATAATTAAATATGTATGGGTGACATCACATGATGTAAATCACAAGGAGTGACGTAAGAGAAAATGCTGTAAAATCACCAAAAAACTACTTAGTTTGATTATGCTGTATAGATGGATTCCTCTCAGTGCCCCCATGTTTCCCAGTGCTCCCATGTGTCGATTACTCCAGGTCTCAGCGTTCCTATGTATCACAGTGTCTCAATGCCCCATGTCTCCCTGTGTCCTCCAGTATTCCCATGTGTCTATGTTCCCATGTATGTGTCACCAGGACACTAGGAAGACGGGGAGACCTGGGCATACGGGGAGACCTAGGGATACAGAGACTCCAGTGACACTGGGAAACTAGGGGGCACTGGCTGGGACACATGGGGACACTGGGAAAATAGGGGACACTTGAAGACATGAGGACACAGACACTAGAGACACTGGCTGGGGGACATGGGGACATTGAGACATGGGGGCACTGGGAGACATGGGGACACTGAGACACCATGGCCACAGACACTAGGGACACTAGCTTGGAGACATGGGGACATTGAGACACTTGAGGCACTGAGAGACATGGAGGCACTAGAAGACATGGGGACAGTGAGACACTGGGAGACTAGGGGTCACTGGGAGAATAGGGGGCACTGAGACACCAGGGACACTGGCAGGGAGACATGGGGACACTGGGAGACATGGGGACACTGTGTCCCCATGTGTCTGTGTCATAATGTCTCCCAAAGTCCATTAGTGTCTCAGTGTCTGCCATAATGTCTCCCAATGTCCCTTAGTGTCTCAGTGTCTGCCATAATGTCTCCCAATGTCCCTTAGTGTCTCAGTGTCTGCCATAAAGTCTCCCAATGTCCCTTAGTGTCTCAGTGTCCCCATGTCTCCTTGCAGCCTTTCCCCCCATCCATTACTTCCCTGAGCTGTAGGCTGTCTCTGCAGGGTGGAAGTTGCTGTCTGGGCTCTCTGTAGCTGCACCCCTGCAGATCAGTGAGTATAGATAGGCAGGGAGGGATATGCTGAACTTCCTATCCCTGCCTGTCTCCACATACAGCGACCCCTACTGGCCAGTGCTGGTATTGCAGAGTAATCTCTTGTTTATACTGAGAAAAATACCAGCATTTGTATTGCCAGTATCACTGTAATATTGGCACCAGCCAGGAAGCCTCAAATACTGGCTGTGCCAATAAAATAAAAGCCAGGTGGAATCCCCAAATACTGGCTGTGCCAATAAAATAAAAGCCAGGTGGAATCCCTAAGAGTAGTGTGAAAAAAAAAATGTAAAAAAAAAATTTTTTTTTTTTTTTTTAAATCAATGGGCCTATTCCATGGGCCTGGGCCTGGAGCTGCAGCTCCATCAGCCCCTATGTTAATCCGGCCCTGCCTATAGGTGCCGCGGCCCACCGGGAAATTTCCCGGTATCCCGGTGGGCCAGTCCGGCCCTGAGCTGCACTATATAAAGAACACTGTGCATTCTATACTGAGGTCCAGACACCAGTGGCTTAAAGTGGGTGGATGTGACTGTGGCGGAACCGCTGTCTGTTCATGGGTTTTCCCTCTCTTTTACATGTACTCCCCCTGTATGTTAGCTTATTGTGTCCGCTCCCCTTTTGGGAGTGTTTCCACTAAGTGAATCCATTCACCTCCTGAACGGGGACCAACCCAATCCCTCATTTAGAATAGGTTAGAATGTTCCCACCTCGGAACCTAAGTGTAAAATCCGCAAACCACAAAGGAAACAATTAATGAGTGCTTCTTTGTGTGTCCGCTGTTCGTATAGACAAACTCCACCAGGGGGATTGTTTCCCAGCCTCATTACTTTACCGATCAAGGACCTCCCCAATGTCCCATTAGAACGTTTGCACTCGCAACATAGGTGTGAAACCACAAGGGAAGTAATTAACGAGTGCTTCCCTGGGTGGCCACCATCTATATAGACGAACGCCAGCCAGGGGGAGCATTCATACCCCGAAAGGAGACCCTTCCTTTGTCTGGGTTTCCCACCTGGACCTCGAGATGTCATGGTTACTAGTGTGGTCCAACACACAGAAAGTATGTAAACATATACATAAAAAAGGAAAGGAAATAAAAGGACAGAGCGTAAACCGGACCTTAGAATGGCCTAATACGCTAGAGATAGAGAATAGTCAAAGGGAAAGCTGAGGTCGAGGAAGCCAGAAATACTCAGATACCATTTAAACAAGCCAAGTCAGGGGAATCAGAATTCGGAATAACCAGGGAAAAGCCAAGATCAGGATACCAGGAAGTCAGATTCACAAAGATAAACGCACTCTCGGGAACCAGGAACAAGAAACTACGACAGGGCAAGGAACTGGAGTGAATTAGGGATTTATATATCCCTCTCTGGGCTCTGATTGGTCAGAGGGTGACCTCTGACCCCAGAACGTGCGCCTGTTGACGTCGTGATGTCACGCGCACGTCCGTATAAATTTGAGGGGCGGAGCTTGTGATGTGCGCGACCACGTGGTCAGTGCCATCTTTGATTTGGGTGCAACGCCCAGAAGGTGCGGAGAAACGGTTCCCGGCTCGCCGGCTCGCAGGTAAGCTCGCAATGTCGGCGAGGTCGTGCCGGTCGGGCACAGTTTTCGACTAAGTGGCT